ATGAAGTACCAGCTATTGTGCAAAAATTTCATGAACTCATCCTCACCCAGTTTAACACGTATCAAAATATTTTGTTCTGATAATGCTAAGGAGTATTTTGAGAGAACCCTCTCCACCTATCTTGAAACTTTTGGGGTTATTCATCAAACTTCTTGTTCCTACAATCCACAACAAAACGGGGTGGCGGAAAGGAAGAACAGACATGTGGTTGAAGTTGCCAGATCCCTCTTGTTTGCATCCCATGTTCCTATAAAGTTTTGGGGAGATGCTATTCTTACTGCTACTCTTTTGATCAACCGTATGCCCTCCCAGGTCCTTGACTTTAAAACCCCCTTTAGCCTTCTCTTCCCGGATGAGGATATCTTTTCTCTTCCTCTCCGTGTTTTTGGGTGCACTTGCTATGTGCATATTCACAGTCATCAAAGGCACAAGTTTGAACCTAAGGCTCATAAATGTGTTTTTCTGGGATATGCTTCCACACAGAAGGGATATTGCTGCTTTGATCCAGTTCGTGGCACCCGTTTTGTATCTCGGGATGTCACCTTTGCTGAGTTGACTCCTTTCTTTAGCATTCCTTCTGAGGGGGAGAAATCTGAAGAGCCCTTTTCTATGTCTCCAGCTGTTCCTCTTCCCATTCCTCTTGAGTTCTATCATGAGGTGTCCATTTCTACCACTGGACCTACCTCCGATATTCCTATTCCTCCTCCTCCTCCACCTCATTCTCCTATAATTCCTCCTCCTGTTCTCCAAAGGTGGTACCAAAGGCAGAGATTCAGACATGGGCAGGTTGTTTCCACTCCTTCACAAGAGCCTCTTGCTCCTCCCATCATTCCTGGGGTAACAGGTCAACCTTCTTCTGAAGGAGTGGAAACAACTTGCCCATGTCTGAATCTCTGCCTTTGGTACCACCTTTGGAGAACAGGAGGAGGAGGAATTATAGGAGAATGAGGTGGAGGAAGAGGAGGAATAGGAATATCGGAGGTAGGTCTACAACTTTCCCAGGTCTTGACCTTCCTATTGCTCTCTGCAAGGGCAAGCGGAAGTGTACAGCCCATTGTATCTCCAAACACCTGTCTTACAGCCTTCTCTCTCCTTCCCACTACTCTTTTCTTGCATCTGTTTCTTCCCATGTGATACCCAGGTCCGTACCGGAAGCCTTATCTCAACCTGAATGGAGGGATGCTATGAYGRCWGAACTRGATGCTTTGCATAAGAACCATACCTGGGATATTGTTGACTTGCCTGAAGGGAAGGAACCAGTGGGTTGTAAATGGGTGTTTACCATTAAATATCACTTTGATGGCTCTATTGARAGGTTTAAGGCTAGGCTGGTTGCTAAGGGCTACACTCAAATGTATGGCATTGACTATCTTGAGACATTTGCTCTGGTCGCTATGATGACCTCAGTTAGGGTTTTGTTATCTCTAGCCGCTACTTTTAACTGGCCCTACACCAGTTTGATGTTAAAAATGCCTTCTTGAATGGCGACCTGCATGAATATGTCTATATTTGCCTCTAGGGATGTATGGGAAGGAAATGCAAGGCAAGGTGTGTAAACTGCAGAAATCTATTTATGGTCTCAAAYAGTCTCCTCGGGCTTGGTTTGAGAGGTTTAGGGCTGCTCTTGTCTCCTTTGACTACACACAAACACAATTTGATCATACCCTGTTCTTGAAGAGAAATGGCTTTCTAGTGACCTTCTTGATAGTTTATGTTGATGATATTGTGGTCACGGGTAATGACACTCAAGAGGTCAGTAAACTAAAGAGGTTTCTCAACTCCGAATTTGAGATCAAGGATTTGGGAGATCTTCTGTATTTTTTGGGCATTGAAGTTGCTAGATCTAAGGATGGTATCTTCATTGCTCAGCGTAAATATGTCATTGACCTCCTTGCTGAGACTGGTAAAATTGGAGCTAAACCAATCTCCACTTCTATTGATCCTAATCATAAGCTTTCTGTTACAGATGGTGAGCTTTTATCTGATAAGGGGGTGTTTCAGAGATTGCTTGGGAAGTTGTTATATCTTTGCATGACTCGGCCAGATATTTCCTATGCAGTAAGTGTTGTTAGTCAATTTATGCACTCTCCCAGAGATGCTCATTTAGCTGCTGCAGAAAGGGTTCTGTGTTATTTGAAAGGTACTCCATGGAAAGGTATTTTGTTTGCTAAACATGGACACATGAAGGTGGAAGCTTTCACTGGTGCTGATTGGGTAGGATGTATTGATGATAGGAGATCCACCTCAGGTTATTGTGCTATGGTCGCTGGGAACATTGTGTCATGGAGGAGTAAGAAACRGTYTGTAGTTGCTAGATCCTYAGCTGAAGCAGAATACAGGGCAATGGCACATGGTGTGTCAGAATACAGGGCAATGGCAATGGCAATTGGCTGATATCTTGACCAAGGGAGTTCCAAGAGTGAAAATGACACACTATATAAGCAAGCTAGGCATGATTGACATCTATGCTCAGCTTGAGGGGGAGTGTAAAGAGACTGGGCCGAATGGGCCTCTCTTAATGGGCCTATTATTTCTTTTTGTTTAATCTCTTTATGTTACTGCCTAGCTGGCCGCCCACTTAAGGGCATACTTGTCATTACTCTAACTTTAATTTTTAATAAAAAAAGGGTTAGAGGAGAAAGGAGAGATGATTCGATTTCTTCTTCTTCTTCCTTCTCTTTTCGCCATCTTCTTCTCTTGTATTGCTGCTCTTACTTCTCTTCTTCCTTTTCTTCTAATCTTCAAATTTACACCTAATATTTGAGGACTGATTTGCATCTCCTCTTAATGAAATCATCAAACCTTCTCATCCCCGAGCTTTCTCAAGCAAAGCTTCATATAGAAATCAAATCAAGCAAATAGAGTAAAATTTATTTTTCCTGAAGTCTGGAAACAAAGAATCAAAGTCTTTGATGCTTTTTGTTCTCCATTCAATGAGACATCACAACAAGAACTCCTGTAGAGAGTTAGATTTGAGTAAAAAAATAATTAATTATTTCACCAAAGAGCCAGCTTTGCTAAAATAATTAAAAATGATACTTTTTCTCTCTTAAACAGGTAACTCATCTTGAGTAGGATTTTATCCAACCAAAGAGAAAAAGGTTGTGCAATCATTCTATCATGATTAGCAATGCCAGTCGGGTAATACAAGAAAGAATGATTCATATCATCAAATTCCAAGCTTCCATACTCTGATAGTCTGATCTTTCGCCTGGTCTGAAATCCAAAAGGGACAATGCTCATGCATGTTGCAGTGCCGAATAAACCAAATTTCAAGAGGTCGCACACCCGACTCAAGAAAAGCAATGGTGTCTCCTTCCAAAGGGAAATTGCTTTGTCTACTTGTCCCAACCTGAAAACAGAACAGCAAAGGAAGGAAACTTTAGAAAACAAAGAAATATATGCCGACTGCCGAGAAGTCTCACCTGAATACACATAAAGGAAGGTACAAAACTCTGCAAAAAAATGAAAAAAAAAACAAATAAAAAGGTAAAAGAACAACAATTAAGGAATCTGGGCCTTCTGGGTTTGGGGGAGTGTTCAGGAATGAGGCTGGGATCATTAATGCTATTTTCTCAGGCCCAATTGGAGAGGGTGACTCTCTTAGGGCTGAGATTCTAGCAGTTCTGGAAGGAATCCAAAGAGCAAGAGAATTAAACATTCGATGCTTGGTCATTGAAGGGGACTCGGAGGTGGTGATTAGGTGGCTGAAGGAAGACAACAATGGTTTGTGGAGCTACAGAAATGAAAAGAAAAAAATTAAATGGCTGAGTAGGGATATTGAGGTGAAGTACAGTTGGGTGAAGAGAAGCGCAAACTCAATGGCTGATGGGTTGGCCAAGCAAGGGGCGCTTAAGGAATCTATGTTTTGGGCTAATTTTTAGCTTTCTTCTTTGTTCCTTGTTGTGGGGGAGTTAAGATAGTTTACCTCCCCTTTCTTGTACTTAAAAGTTTCACAAATTTTGTTATTTAATAAAGCATCCTGTTACCGATGAAAAAAAAAAAACAACAATGAAGCCCTGGACCAAACCACAGAATCTCTGTAAACCAAATTCAGAGCGCGCTAAGAAGGCATCTATGGCCAGCATCCATGGCCGCTGAGCAGCTGAGGATAGAGGATTGCACCAATACAAACTAAAAATCGAAACCCAATAAAAGTCCTAACATTGCTTTGGATTAAGAAGAGAGATGAGGGTTGCTTTGTGGGGAGAGATAGGGTTTGGGTTTTTTGAGAGAGTAACAGAGAAAGCTCAGAAGGCTCTTGAAGAAAGGAGAGAGCTAGCTTGGGTATGACATGCCGGCAGCATGTGTCATTGGAAATTCTTCACATGTGCCCCAAACACCCTACCCAAAATGACAACATCTTGCATGTGTCCAAGAAACCCACACCCTCATTCAACCTGGAACTTACGTGTCAATACCCTTTTCCACTCATACAAGAGGCCACGTTGCCTGAACCTCGACCTTTACTGTTTTATATATATAGATAGATTAGTTTTATTGAGAATTACAACTTCAAAAAACCCATTTAACAAATTAAATGAGGGCACAGATTTAATCTGCTTTACTTCTGCGTTTGCTTTTCTTTCATGTGTTATGTTTGCATTTTTTTCACTTGTGTTTCTAGTTTTTTATGGTACTTAAAAGTTTTCATAGATTGAATTTCTCAAGAAGCTTCGGTTTAGAACCATTGTTTTTTATTTACTTCATATGCAATACATTAGTAAAATGGGTTGTCCCCATTGCTGGCCATTACTTGATACATTTTAGATGGTTATTGTTTAACTAAAAAAGATGCACTGTTTGTTTGCAGAGATGATCCAGAACTTGACAAAATGCTGAAGGACAGGGTACGATGGGGTGATCCAATGGCACACTTGGTCAAGGTAATTGTTTTAGGGATATGCTCTTTATTTTTGAATATCAATTGATATTTGGTACTTATCTGCTTCTCATACATCTGCAGAGGAAGCATCATGAACCGGTATTAGATGACCTGGGTGATAATGAGAAGATGAAAGAATCAGGTTTTATGATTCCTCAGGACATTCCCAGCCACAGCTGGATAAAAAGAGGAATAGATGCCACCCCGAACCGTTATGGTATAAAACCTGGGCGACATTGGGATGGAGTTGATCGCAGCAATGGTTTGTTTTTTCCTACCTGCAGATGAGACACTTTTGTTTTATTCCTTTGGCTTGTATGTGCTGAAAATTTCCCCATTATTTTTTAAATTGATTTTATGATCATTACTGTATGAGATTGATGCTGCTACAGGTGGGTTTTTTCAGTTGGCTCCATGTGTACCCATAGCCACCTATATTTATGCATCAGGTTTGGATGATTGTGGATCCAGTTCCAGGTCCTTGTTTGTTTATACATGCTTGAGGGCTAGACCTACCAAATAAGTTTATAATGATAATTGGCCATTTCAAATGTTTAAAACACTAAATTTTTGATTTTTATACACACATAGTTAATTAAAACAAAAGGAGAAGAAAGAAAAGGGATTATCCTCTACAAAATTAAAAAATGTGTCCTTGTGTCTAGTCTGCATTGGTCCTGATTTCTTACCTGGTATAAATTGATGTGAATTGATTGGTCAAATATTTTTGACAAAGGGCTTAGTAATTATGGTCGGGTATATCAGTTCTTCAGTTATTGGATAACTGCATTTCTTGGTAAATTGCCAATTTTGATGGCATTAGTTACTCATTGACACCTCTAGCTGCATTTATTGATTAGTATTTATATTATTTTTTTGATGGACAGATTACGATTTATATTATTTACTGCTCCTTATGTTGACTGTCAGACATTGATGAATGCATGCTCCTGAGATTAATTTGTGTACGAGAGAAGTCTTTCATATCTATACTATATTCAAAAATGTAGTTGTCCATGACAGACTCAGATTGCTTCCCAACCCTTTCAGAACTTTGCAGTTTTTTTTTTGAATTTAAAAATAAAAATTAAATATAGGGCTATTTAAGCTCACCCACAACCAATTCAGTTAAGAAACTGAAATGTAATATGAGAATTTTTTTAGCACCATCCTGTGCATCGCAAAGTTTATACTGTTTTGATGTTTCTGCCAACTCATCAAATGTTGGATGACCACATGCTTTTAATAGACATGTTCTACTCCCTCCCTCGAAATTCATGGAGTGCAATGCTTTTGTCCTCAGAACTATTATATTGTGTTATTGTAATTGTTGGATTCATCCATTAATTGAAGATATTTACCTGTTTCTGCTTTTCTATATTGATGCAGGATATGAAAAGGAGCACTTCAAAAGGATGAATGAGAAACGTGCAACAGAAAGAGAAGCCTATCTGTGGTCTGTTTCCGATATGTAATTGAAGGGAACATGCAAATAATTTCCAATTATTGTGCCCGTACTGGGGATACCGAGGGCTAAATCTCACAAGAAAGTGCCGCATACTGGATGGTTGTTATTGATAACCACCAACACTCTTCTACCATGAATCCCTTTTCCACCCAATTTTCAGGCGTTTCAGTTCGAGGATAATGTGTACAATATGTTTGAAATTCTTGCAGGCTGATAGAAGAAGCTGAGAATCCAGCTTGGGGTGAGTGGACACATTTTTGGATAAAGTATACTCTTAAAAACAGAGTGCAGATCCAATTGAGGTGGAGAGAAGAATGTATCATGTATGTTGTTATTATTGGTAAAATTGACATAGATTTATTGGAAGAAATTAGAGAAAAATGAGGGATTGACTTGTTTGGAAGAAATGTCTTTTTTTTTGGTAAAATTAGAGAAAAATGAGGAATTGATTAGCTAAAATAAACTGGAAACTAAAGTTGTAAACAATAAGGTTGCGTGCACGCAATGCAGTGCATTAGAAGAGCCACAAGATTGATTGCTTCACAGGCTCGCAGCTAAATAGTAACTTCAAATTCGATATTCCGAAAAACATAAATAAAAAAGTAATTCGGTTTTTCCAACAGAAGGTTATTTTTCTTTCTTTTGTTTGTCATGAGTTTCATGACTAGATCTGTTCATGGGCCGGGCCGGGCTCGGACTGGGCTTTTTCTTTTCATTAATAGAAAATTTTCAGGCCTGAGCCTGAGTCTTGCCCGACCAACGGGCCTACGATTTAGGCCCAAGCCTGGCCCTCATAAAATGCCCAAATCCTGGGCCTGAGCCCGAAGAGAGAGATGACCTAGTTCACTGGTGATGCCGGTGCCTGAGTTCATTTTTGAGAGAGAATGGTGCTTGAGTTCGCCGGTTCCTGGGAGTCTGAGAGTGAGAATGAAAACTGAGAAAGTGAGAAGATAGAAGATGAAAATAGTGCCGGCTGGAGAGAGAGAGAGGACCTAGTTCTAGTGGCGCCCGTCGTTGGTGTCTAAGTTTGCAGGCTGAAAACGGTGCGCTTGGGTACGTACGTTCTGAGAGAGAGAAATTGAGAATGAGAAGAAAAGTGAGAAGATAAAACGCTACTGAAAAGAGGGAAATGGGAAAGAGTTATGGAGGCCGGGCTCGTCCATCAGACTATCCGGCCCATGAACAGGTCTATTGATGACTATCATGAATTTAACGGTTAACACATGCAACTATGTATTGGGCAAGACCTCAAGATGACAGACCACAAACATGGTCATCATCAATTACTCGTGTCTACTGTCAAAGAGACGCTCAGACGCTTCGCCAAAGGCCTAGAGCCAGACCAAATTCCAGCCTCAGAAGTCAGAAGGGAAAAGGCCAGAACCGGAACCTGAAACCTGTCTTTTTGTGGTTGGACACTTGATACTACCATACAAGTCCGGGTCACCTGTCAACAAAATATATTCCAACATGACCTGACACAGCACATCTCATAGATGGCCGGCCTTATTTTTATAGTGGGTACAGACTCATGGTGAGATATGCGATATTAGTTCATGTTGGTAGGGGTTGGAACGTGTATTGTTGGCAGTAAACTATAACTCCCAACATGTGAGGGACACCACATGGAACTGCCGCTGAAAGATTCTGTTTTGATGGTCACAAAAGCTTCTGAGGTGTCATCTAGATGAATCTGTCGTTCTACTGGCAATTACCCGTCCAAACACAACATTGGCGATAATTAAATCACTATTTGCTTTTTGTATCAATTCCACAATTTATTTTGTCTTTTTATATGATCGATTCGTCAATATATTTGTAATCTAGATTTTTCTCCACGCAAAAGATAAAAAAAAATAAAAAATAAAAAGGAAGATTAAATCCCTAACTTGCAAAAAGAGACTTCGAGAGAGAGCGCGCTGCAGGATAACTTCATGCACCCATCACGTTCACGCTAGAAAAATTTCGAGTGTCTTGTGCCCTCCCTTAGGCCTAAACTGTTCTCTTCTCCGCCAGCTGAGCTGAGCTGAGCTGAGCTTCACCTCAAGACCGCAGTGCATGTGTGTGTGTGGTAATCATGGCGACGAGCCTGCCATGGCATCCCCTATTGTCTGCCTCGAAATCTCACCTTTCTATCCGACGACGGGCTCTCTCAACGCGTCAAGTGGTCACTGTGCAGGCCTTCCGCCGCAGCGATTTCGACGGCTTCGCGAAGCGAGTAACCTCCGGTGAGGCCTGGAGAGATGCTTGGCGGAGTGCTAACGATGGATTCGAGCAGTTCCTCTTCGATGCCAAGAAGACGGCGGAGCGTCTCGATCGTCAATACTCTGTCTCTCGACGACTTAACGCCGTCATGCAATCTGCCACCGACCGGGCTCGCGAGATCGACCGTGAGCTTGAAATCGGACGGCGGTGGCGCTCCTTTACCCTCGATTTCTCCAGGAATTGGCCCAGGGTTTGTTCTCCCTCAATTATTTCTTTTTGCCCAATTTTTACTTGGTTCAATATTTTTGGATGTTATATTTGGTTAAATACCTTAAAATCATTTTTCTTAGAATATAGTCGCGGCTATATATAAGTTTGCTAAGTTATTTGCAATTTTGTTTAATTGAGTTTCTTTCAGTCATTTCTGCTCTTTGTTGATACTTGATGGCGTGGCGAAGCTTTCGTGTGTATGAATTTTGAACATCTAAATTGAATCGTAAACAATTTCCGTTCTCCGTGATTATTTCTATTCATATTACTCCTACCACTTATTTTTCTTGTACATATATCACGTGGTAATTGTATCTTCGTAATCTTGGTTGCAATTATCGAATGATTTAACTTCTGCAGCACTATAAAGAGACTAGATGAACACTCATTAGGTGCTAGTTGAGAATTAGTGTGGAGAGCATAGTCATCTCTAATGAGAACGAGGAAAAATAAATTGGCAATAGAGCAGTTGGAATGATAAGTGGTCTTTCTTCTTCGACAAAGCATCTGGATGAATATTTGTTTGTTTTCACCCTTGGTCGTCTTGGTTATTTCCAACTCAAAATCTTGGCTATCGACGAACAGAGGGCAATTAACAAACAGAATGGTTCTAAGTTATCACATGGGTAAGTTGTACTTTGCATATCCATGGAGGTTGGAGGATGTAGTGGGTTAGATTCTTGATTTTATTTTTCCCATTGTTGAATGGTTTTGAATGGGTGGGCAAGAAATTTCAGTTTCTTTTGGTTATTTTGTACGAACTTAAGTTCTCTGTGGTACCTTTTGGTAGGAGTAACTAGGACCATCATATGATGTTTGGACCAGCATAAAATTCAATCTAAATTTGGTGAGCACCTTTGATGTTGGGTAGCAGGTCTGCTTATGGATGAGATTGTGGGGATGGTATGTGCAAGAAAGTTTCTTTCTTAGGTATTACTCTGGCATCAGCAAGATATGTTTCAGCTATGCCACTGAATCCTTTTTGAATATGGGTCTGAAGATTTCAATTTTCCTTGTAGGTATTTATTTTTATATTGGACTGTTGTGTCTATTATTCCAGTTCTCTTAGTCTTGTTGATCGATGATGATATGGATACCTAGTTTCATAGAGTTGTCAAGGTGTGATGATGATTCTAGGAAACTGTGGAGTGCCCAGTTGCCTAGGAGGCTAGTTTCTCTTTGGACATACTGAACATTTAAACTCTAACTGTAAGAAGTGCCCTGAGAAAATGACTCTGGTTCCCTTGGTGAAATTAAGAAGTTGCTGTGGTCATGTAAAATATTTTACTGCAATCTCACTTGTTTATTTTGCTTTTTTCCCCTGGGGTTGGATTATTTCAACTTTGTCATAGAAAGTTTAGTTGTTGGTTTTCATGTTTCATGGATGTTGGCATGGTTATTTATAACTTTTTTTGTCTTGTCCTTGCAGTATAGGAGGCAGCTGAATGATTTTCTTGATACTCCACTTGGAAGAAGTTTTGCTGTGAGTATCCATAACTCTTTTACAATGTATATAGATTTTTTTTTTGATCAGCAAATGATTTCATTAAAGATGAAAATTAAAGATGATACAATTTTTGAAAATACCAGCACTCTTTGGTATCATATTACAATTTTGTGCAAAAAAGAGTTTCTGTCAACTCCCTGTTTGGCTAATGCATCTGCTATCCCATTTCCAGACCTCACCCAGCTGAACTGTGAATTCAATTGCTTTGCAATAAAAACAATCTCTCCCTGAAAGCATGTTTGTATTTCCAAGGTACTGCCTTAAGCTGCTTTGCCCAATGGATAACTAATTGTGAATCACCTTCCACTTCCAAATCTCTAAGGCCAAGCTGTTGTGCTAGTCTCAGGCCTTGTAACAAAGCCAAGGTTTCTGCCTTCATTGAATCACCCATGCCGATTGGTCCTGAATGCAATGTATATAGATGTTCTTGATGTCCTACAAATTAAACTTATTTTCTGGTTGGGTGTTTTCTTCTGCCTTAAGTAATTATCTATAGTAAATATGGGAATGTTATTGGTGAAAATATCAGTCCCTTAGCTCAGTTATTTTCTATGGTCTTCACTTTTATTTGCTTTAATAAATAAAAAATGGGCTTGAAGTAGATGGTGTTTTGGTCAGTGACTCGTGTTATCGCAAAAACTTAAAACATGGCAATAGCAAATCTTTTAATGTTGAGGGGGTGTAAGGTTTCTTTCCCCTTGTTTCCTTTTTAGTATTTTTTTTTGGGGTTCCTGTTTCAAAACTTTTTTTTTCCTCTTTGATTGGAGCCTGTTTCAAAACTTTTGCTACAAGACAACCACTGGTGCCCTAAAATCATTGGTTTCCTATGTGTATGAATTTGTTAGACATTTCTAACATATTGATTGTGTCTCCTTTGTTCTTTATATCTATATGATTATTGACTCTGAATTTGCAATTTGATGAAGTTTGTTTCATTGATATCATGGTGTTATAATTCTCTAGTTATTCCTGATCCTAATTGATCAGCACAGAGTATACTTTTAGATGCTTAGGGGCCATTTGATAGCAACTGAATTAGCTGAACTGAATGACTTATTGATTTGTTTGTTAGTTGATAAAATAATTAAATAATAAAATATTTTGGGGGTATACTAATAAACCCAATTTCAGATTCAGCAAATAAGGAGCTTGCAACCTCCAGAGTAACTTATTCACTAAAAGACATAGCAACAAGTCATTCAATTCAGCCACTTCAGCTGTTATCAAATGGACCCTTAAGTGTCTACTAAAAGCTACAGCTTGTTATGTGGGTTGATCACTAGTTGATTATCAAGACTAGAAGCTGAGAAGCCTTGTTATTGCATGATAAAAGGTTTTTATAGTTTTGAATAGCGCCATAAACTCTAATGGTCTGACATCTTTGTTAATTAGCTCATTAGCTGATTCTTCCAAGAAATTCTAGGTAGCCCCTGTGCTTGGAGTTTGAAATTCCTATTACGTATATTTAGTTTTTTTTTTTAATAGAGGCAACTAGAATTCTGTGTATTTAGTTTGCAAATATATTTTGTACCAGGTGCTTAATGCGTAAGGGGCCATTGATTGGTGCAATGGTAAAACCTTGGGATGACAGGCGTTGGAATGTGGTTTGAGTTTGAGAGTGATCACTTTGTGCAAAAATTGCATAATGCCCCTTTTTTGACCTAATGCTTCACTGAGGAAATTCCCTTGGTTGTTGCAATCACTTTGGAGCTTCTGCATGTTAAGCTAACCATGACCACAAGGTATGATACTAGGATGACCATGCATTCCTAGTGTACTGGTGTAGGACCGGATGCATATTAGGATACCGATTTATATCAAATGCTGTTTATTTGATCCCTCTTTTTCCTTGTACCATCTCAGTTTATATAATTCTTATAGCTCATTTTTATGCCTTTTACTTTTGTAGACGGTCTTCTTCCTTTGGTTTGCATTATCTGGATGGCTTTTTCGAGTCTTGATCTTTGCAACATGGGTACTGCCATTTGCTGCTCCCCTACTCATTGGGACTGTTGCCAATAACTTTGTAATTGAGGTAAATTTACTGTTTCTGACCTTGATTTTTTTTCAGTCTAATGGATGACGGGGGATTTTTTTTGAAGATAAATAAAGAAGAAAATTTATTAATGAAACAGAAACAGAAACAGAAACAGAAAAAGGAGGATTCAACCAGGTGATAAGACATCACCCAACCCAGGAAAAAACAATCATCTTACCCCTTGGGCCTTAAGAAAGCAACCCTAAAATCACCAATTACAATTTGAAATCCCCACGCCAACCAAAACTGAAAAACCCGAGAAACACATAAAAACCTCCTTCCCTAGAACTCGTAAAAGCAAGTAAATGCTCACTCCCACCCACCAACAGAGACACCAACCCTGAACCCATAAACCTATTCTGACGAGACTCAAAATCACACTTAAAACAGAGACATTCTCCCATAAACCTATTTGAAAGGCTTTCTTCATCTTCTTCCTCTTCTTCTTTGGCACTGCCCCAAAAACTTTCAGCTTTAATCTGGCAAAAGCTTTTGAAACTTGAACTGGGGAATTCAAGAAGATTGATTGAATGGGATAGGTTTTAGTAGCTCAGTTTTTCTGCTCTTGTCGTTGTAAATTTTGTAATTATGTTTTTAACTCTTTCCCCAACTCATTTAAGTTTTATGTGTAACAAGAGTTAGTCTTGAAGGTTACCTTCTGAGGGTAATATGCTATGTAATACATGGTGCAGTTAGCTAAAGACTAAATTGTCTATTAGTTTCATTGTCCTATACCTTTTAATTAATGGAAATATCTTTAATAGCCATAAGTTAACTTGATAATATTCTAAGCATTTAATTGATCAGTTTTCTTCAAGTATATTTGACATTATGGTAAAGGTCCTTTGAGAAAAGGTTTGTTAGGGGGCAGACCAAAAAGGACTTGAGTGGAAGTAGTTAGAAATGATTTAAGCACCCACCTAATTTGACAATGGATATGACACTGAACACAACAGATTGGAGAAGTCATGTAGCCAATCCCATCTAGTTGGTACAAGGCTTACATGATGATAATGATGATATTACTTGTATAAGTGTGGGGTCCATGACCCATGCAAGAGGTGGATTATCAGCTGTGTTACTTAATACTTATATTGATTCCTTCCTGTACAATTTGTATTCTAATAGCAGACTGCAAAGTTCACTCAGTTGTATGAAGCTCTAGTCTGATTATTGATCAGAGCCCACATTCAATCAGTCAATAGAGAGGTTAACCAGGGCAAAATTGATGTAGATTCCAGGTTTTTTTCGTATTCATCTAGATGGATATTAAATTATTAAGTGGCTTTATTGACAAATTTTACAAGGCTTCTAAAATGATGCATTAGATCAGATGGCCAAAGGTAATATCAATTTTTGGTACAAACATGAGACAATATCTATATGGGATCTGTCACCTGGCAATCTTGTTCCACCCAATTTCTGGTATGCTGGTTATTTATATTGATAAAAAAAAAGATATGCTGGTTATTTATAGGATCATCCCAAGCTGCATATGGTTTCTGCAGTTCAAACCTAAAAGTGTTCCATCTTGTTTCTCTTCTTCTCAGGGTCCTGCTGCAGACCTAAGAAACTCCCTTGTTTTTCTTTTCGTGACCTGTAGATAATTGGAGAATATTTATTTGATGCTTTAATACTCTTTACCTGTAAAGTTGTTTGTGTGCATGGAAAATATGCACCTACATCTAGTTGTCTATGTATATTTGGGCATTACATCTAGGAGAGAGGGTTCTAGAAGTGCAAAAGCCTTTATTTTTTTGATCAGCAGAAAAAATTATTTTGTCCTATTTGGTTATATATGAGGTTAGTACAACTTGATTAGTACAATTATTTTGTCATATTTGGTTGTCCATGTACAATTGAACTTGTGATGCAGGCATGGTAGCATGAAGGAACTTTTCTTCTACCATGGTTTCTTTCCTTGCTTCCATGCTGAGGTGAACCTCATGGCATTCAACAAATCCACGAATAAGAGCAAGGTAAAAAAAGCAAGCTGAATTTGCCATGGGTGGAAGATTTTCACCGATCAGGAATTGGTGGAGATTTCTCAAGGTGGAAATGAAGGAATTTCTGATGGAGCTATTTCAGAATAAAGAGCTCGTAGTTAGAATTCAAGAAGGCAGGAAAGGTACAGTTATGTTAGTAAGGGAGGTGGCATTTTGGTTCCAAAGCTTTCTGGATGGTGCGGTGAATGTAAGTTGGAGATTGGATTGGAAAGACACGTTCAGAATGCAGTAAGGAGGAGGAATGCAAAATGTTGGTTTGTGTCGCTTAAAGAAAGATTCAAGAATGTAAAGAAGCAAACGATCATTATACCAGAAGGTAAGGATCTGGAAGGGTGGACAAGAATTGCTAATCAACTTCATGCAGTGGTAAGCAAAAGCTGGGGGAGTAAGAAGGAGAACAACTTAACAAAAGGAAAGAAAACAGTGGAAGATTTTGGAAAGGAGGACCTGAAGGAAATAAGAAAGAATTTTGAGAACTTAAGACTCGAAGATAAGTCCAAATGCAGGGCTTCTGTGATGGTTGCGGTGTCTACAGCGGAACCAAAATTCAGGTTAAACCGAGAGGAGAGAGAATGGGGGCAAAGGCTTGTGGTTACTGCAAAAAATAAAGTTTTAGACTGGACAAGAATCTTAGAAGACGTAACAGAGAAGTTGGGAGTCAAGAGTACAACAGCCCTCATACCGTTTAATGAGAGGAAGGCTATTTTGGATGCAGGGAAGAGGGCAGTGGGCTGTGAGATCATCGAGACGCAAGATAGAACGATGACAATTGAAAAATGGTTGCCGTCATGCAACTCTCTGGAGATTTCTGATGGTTGCTTCCACCTGAATCTGGTGGGGCTGCCTTTCAATCTCTGGACGAGATCCATAATTGAGCAGATTGCAATGGCGATGGGAGGTGCTCTGTGTAGAGAACATTGATGTGGGCCCCACAGCTGTGGTACCACTCTGTCCGTAGGGTAGAATGTATCTAGTCACARCTGTGGTTATTTTGTTGTTCTGTTATTTCTAGTTTCAGTTTTATATTGGTTGTTATTTGTTAGCAGTTGTGATGTAAACACCAAGGGCAGATATGTCCTTT